AACCGTGTGAGGGGCGTGCCGAAATGGGTGTGCGGGACGCATGCGGGAACACCCACTGGAACCTTCGGTGGAACTCCCTATGGGGCCACGAAGCGTGTGAGGTGTGTGCCGAAATGGGTGTGCGGCGCGCATGCGGGCACACCCACTGGGACCTTCGGTGGAACTCCCTGTGGGGCCACGAAACGTGTGAGGGGTGTGCCGAAGTGGGTGTGCGGGACGCATGCGGGCACACCCACTGGGACCTTCGGCGGAGCTCCCTATGGGGCCACGAAACGTGTGATGGGTGTGCCGAAATGGGCGATGACGATGATGATGGTGGGAGGAGGAGGAGGAGGAGGAGGAGGAGGAGGAGGAGGAGGAGGAGGAGGAGGAGGAGGAAAAGAGGAGGAGAGGAGACGCGGGCCACCGTCTCTTCAAAACGAGGACCCAACAACACAGGTTGGTTGGGAACAAAACTGCGATGTGAATTGATAAGAAAATACCACTATGCTTACAACAACCCCCAGCGACATGCGGGCACCTGCGCCCGCATGTCGCTCGGTGGCCTTTCTGCAGTCTATTATTTTCCCAACCGCCGTCTATTTGCGAAAACATATTAGCATTCGGGCGCTTTCGCATTTTTCGGGCGGATTCCTGTGGTTCCAGCTTGCCCCCTAGAGGCCTCCAGTATGGCCCCAAGGCGACCCAAAATGGCACCCGAATGCTCCAATCATTCTCCGAGGGGGCCCTGGGCGGCCTCAAGAGAACCCCGCGCTGGCCCAAGTGGGTCCCGAAACGGCCGAAGAGGGCCCCGAGAGGGCCAAAGGACCTCCAAGACTGCCCGACAGGAACACAAGAAATCGCAGACAAAAAGATGTCATATTGAACTGCGGGACGGGCGGTCTGACGCGTCACTGTCTCCTCTGCCCCCTCGAAGAGTTTTTGATCCGCGGGTCGAGAGCGCACCACTTCCGGTCGAAGCTAAGCGGGCCGCGCGAAGCATGAAGTAGGCAAAGGTGGGAGGGGGGAATGGGGGGCGCAGCCTCAGAACGAGGCCGGGAGGAGGCAAAGCCTAGGGCCTAGGGATCAGGCGGCGCCGAAACCGACGCACTTGCAAAGCAGCGCCATCTCCGTGAACCCGGTGGCGAAATACCGGTCGAAGCTAAATGCCGTGGTTGGCGCTGCCGTCTACGGCTCTTCACTTTAAACCAGCCTCGAGTTGGCGGCGAGAGGTGACGCGCCTTGCAACCAAGCTGCGTCAGGGATCAGGGAGAGCGAGGAGAGCGGCGCTGAGACGAAGTGCGCCGTTGTGCCATCGCACATGTAGCAGGAACGGGCGCCACAGGGCCGTGGCGGCTCATGGTGCCACCGGTCCAGGGTACAGGAGCCGCCGAAACTTGAGTCGCGGCAGTCAGGACACTCCAAGAACATGCCGCCTGTGACGACCGACAGGGCGCCGGCGCACTGGAGCAGGAAGTGGCGCGGGCCAGGTCCTGCAGGGGCGAGCGCTCCGGACCGGGCCGAAGCCGCGATGTACCGGGGCGCAGCCGTTGTCGACCGCGGAGCCCAGGGCCGGGCCGGGGCCGCGCTGCGCCCAAAACCGCGGGGCCGCCGAAGCGGCAGGGGGGGGGGGGGAAGGGGGGGGGAAGGGGGGGGGGCCAGCCGTAGCTGGCGAGATGGCGCCGTAGCCGCCCGCGCCAGCACCGCGGTGGTGGCCCCGCCGGCCATCAGGGGAGCAGGGCAGGCGAGCCCGTGGAACCAGGGGAGGAGGACCAACGGGGACAGGAGGGACAAAACCGCCCCATGCAGGTGTATTCGAGAGAGAGAGAGATGGGGGAAAGAAACCGGAGAATCAGGCGGCGTAGAAGGTCACGAACAGGTCGAACCCGTAGAAGGCCGCCCGAGGCGAGGAGGAAACCGGCGGCGGAGAAGGACGCGCACAGGTCGCAGGTGACCACGAACATGAACCACAGCGGAACCAGGGATGCTGCCCGCCCGGCGGGAACAGGGAGCGAGTCCAGGAACCAGGATAACGCCTTCAGGAGCGGCGGCACGCTGGCGCAGGGACTGTCAGGCGGTCGTCGCGTCGAGCCGGGCCTGCCAGCAGCTGCAGTGCAGGGGCCGGCCCGGTGTCCCAAAAACCACGCTGTGAATGGGCTCCCCGCAGGCGGAGCAGGTTGGCGGCGGTGGCGCGTCGTCGTCGTCGGCGGCGGCGGCGGCCGCGGCGCGACGAAATTTTTCGATGTACGCGTCGTGCCAGAGCCGACGGTCGACGAAGGGCCGCAGGAGGGTGCGCCAAATTCTGTTCCGGAGGTCGTAGAACTCGTCGGACGTGCGGCGGGTCCAGGCGGCGTACGCTTCGCGAGCGCGCTCCGCCGGCTCCTGGTCTGCTGATGGGGAAGCTGGCTGAGCGCCCCCTCCTGCCCGCACCGCAGGCGCCGGCGCCTCGCCGTCCTCCGCCGTCCTCCGCCTCCGCCTCCGCCTCCGCCTCCTCCTCCTCCTCCTCCTCCTCCTCCTCCTCCTCCTCCTCCTCCTCCTCCTCCTTATCGCCCTTGGTCTCGCCCTCCTCGACCGCCTTGCCGTCGCTCTCCTTCCCCTTTTCCGCCTCGTCCGCCTCGCCCCCTTCGTCGACGTGGCTCTCCGGCGCGGCTGCTGGGGCGACGGTGGTGTCTGCTGGCGGCGGGCCTGGCTGAGTTGCAACTTCTGCTGGCGCTCTTGCTGGTGCCGCGAGCGGCGCTGCCGCCTCCTCGCCCTCGCTCTCGGCGTCCGCGCCCGCCGTCCCCTCCTTTGCGCCCTCGCTCCCGGGGGCCGCCGTGTCCGCGCGGTCTGCCGCCACCTGGCCCCCCCCTTCGCGGGCATCGTCGGCGCCCCCCGGCGGTTGGTCGCCGCCGCCTTCGCTCGCGGTCGAAGGCGGGCGGTTCGGGGCGAACGGGCCCCGCTCCACTCGTAGACGATTGGCCGCTTTGTCCGCCGCCCTGTCCGCCCCGTCCTGGTCGCCCGCGTCGCCGTCCCGGGTTCGCAATACCGCCGCGGCCTGGCGGCCTGGCTCGCCTACTACCGGGCGCAACGGCAAACCGAGGCTCGCAAGGTAGCGGCGGCCGCACGAGCCGTCGGCGCGCGCGGCGGGCGTGGGTTCAGGGTCGGCGGCCGCGGCCAGGTGGTACGCGTAGACGGCGCCGTCTGTGACCCTCACCTGTCCCCGGGGGCCAGGAAGCGCGCCCGAGGAGGCGTTTGTGGTCTGGACGTGCGTATCGTCGGTCGCCTCGTCCTCGCGGAGCGTGGCTTCTGGTGCAGGAGGAACGTCGTTGTGCCCCGAGGAAGGGCGCTCATCCAGAACTGCCTCTTGTCCCGGACAGACTTGGGTGGGCCTCCTGTGTGTCGTCGACGTCGCCGGGCGCGCAGGTGTCTGCGAATGCGTGGCTCCGCTGAGTCCCAAAAGAAGCAGGATTGGCGGGGCCGCGAGCGCTCGGGACAGGGGTGTCGGGCGCGCTGACGCCCGCACCCCCCGTAGACCGGTGCGTTTCGTAGAACAGGCGCCTGAACGCAACCAAACCCTGCCGATCTGCAGGGGGAATGGGGCCATGGTGAACAGGCTCGCGGCGGGGATCAGGACCTTCGACCCCGCTAGGTGCAGGACGGGATGCCGAAGTTGAGGTCGGCGCTGTCGTTCCTCCCGCCACCTCGCCGCCAGTGCCCGCACCAAGGTCCAGGGCCGTGTCGCGCTGCTCCCTGCTCGCAAGCCCCGCGAACTCGGGAGAGCCAGGTGTCGCAGTAGTCGGCGCAACGGCATCTATGTGGCCAAGACCGCCGGCGAGCACAGGGCAGCGCGGTGTCGTGGTCGTCGCCTCGGTGGTCGCCCTGCCGTCATCGCCCGTCAGGCCTCCCGCGGGGTCAGGGTTGCCAGGTGTCGCTGCGTGACCAGGGACAGGCACGGGATCAGGGCGACTAACCGTCGCAATGGTCGGGTGCATTGGAGGATCGGAGGTTGGGGACGAGATTGGAGGGATCAGGGCGCCACCTCGCTGACGATTCGCGTGGCCACGACCAGGCACGGGATCAGGGCGACTAACCGTCGCAGTTGTCAGGGGCATGGGAGGCTGGGAGGGGGGGGGGGTGGGAAGAGGTGGGAGGGATCAGGGCGCCATCTCGCTGACGATCTGCGCGACCAGGACCAGGCACGGGATCAGGCGTCTGTGAACAGGAGGAGGAGTGATCGTCTTCATCGTCGTCGGCGTCCATGGCGAAGGCCTTGACTGTGCCTTGTCCTCCTCCACCTCCTCCTCCTTCCTTTGTGCCCCCTCGAACAGTCGTCACCCAAAATGCTGGGCTGGCACGGTGGCGGGACTTGCCGCAAGCAGCGGAATTACCGGGCATAGTTCTTCTGGGGGGCAGGTGCTTGACTGATCTAGATTGAACTGAACCAACTGTGTCGTACGAGTTGGAGGGCCAGTCTATCTTCGCTGCCTAGGGCGCGACGTGGCGAAAAAAGTAGCAAGCTGATCTACACTGTGACGGCCGAAGGACAAACAAAAGTTGTCGTACGCTTCGGAAGCCTATCTCACAACCTATGCCACAACATAATTCGACCTTCCATGACGCAATCCATGGCACGTAAACAAGTGGCGCAGCCAACTACTCCGCAACCACGGCGCGACGAAACCTGTGGCTCACCCCGTGGCTAATTCCTAAACGCCGGGTGGCCAACGTGTCGCCGCCGCCGCCTGGGGGCGCGGGAAGGGGAGGAAGGAAAGCGAGGACAGCCGGGGGAGTAGGAGGGGGAGGAGGGAAACGCAAGGTCAGCCAGATGGGGGGAGGGCGGGCGAGAGCGGAGGACGGAAAAAAGCCAGACGCGAGAGGGGGAGGGGGAGGTGTAGGAGTGGAAGAACGGCAGGTAGATATGGCGGGGGCGGGAGTCGGTCCGCGAACGCAGATGAGCCAACGTGCGTGATGCCATCCCCATAACCCAGCACCGCCCGTACACACTGCCTGGATCTGGAAGGACGGAGAAGCCAACCGCTCTCCTGGATGACTGCGCTGCCGATGAAATTCTTTTCCAGGGAGAACTGCAGTGGCGTGGGCTGCCGCGTCTTCAGGTCTCGACACGGGAATACGGGGTTCGCCTCCACTGCTCTGGCGGAAGTGCTCAGGAGATAAACGTGCAAACTATCCGAAAACAACTTTGCATGAGAAGTTGTCTGTCGCCTCCCCTCTTGCAAATCAGCCATCGCAAATACACACGTGTTGCGTGACAAGGGCAATGAATGGCCGATCTCCGAACGAAGCTAGCCGTCCGACTGCAGTCATTCAGCCTGAGAACAATGAAGAGGGCGGACGCAGAGGGAAACATGAAGAAGGGAAGAGGAAGGATGGGGAACGATCCCCAAAAGCCCCATCTTTAATTGAATTGGCCCTAAGCTCGCCCCGCAAACCATCCACCCACGCGCCGACCCGCGATCCACCCATGACACGCGACCCACTCGCGACCAAACCCCGCGGCCCACCAAAGGCCCACCCGCGACCGACCCGTGTCCACCCGATGACCCGCCGAATGTCCACCCGCAGATGCCACGCGACCGCTCCGCGACAAGCTCCCCGCTTCGCGACCCACCCGTGCGTCACCCCACAGAACATCACTGAGAAAACAGAAGCACTCTGAAAACATGAACGCCAACATTTTTGTTGAAACAAGCACAACATGCATATCAAATGTGTTAGACATCCGTGCGTCCGCTGGACCTGTGTCACGATCTGATAGAGCCGCATCCGAGGCGCCCGCTCAATCATCCTCGGCGACACAATAAACTGCCTCTGAATCGTTCTCCCTCGGAAAAGCGCGTACGAATGTAAGCATGAACGCGCATGTGCACACACACACATACAAACATACGTATACATCTATATATATATATACACGAAATTGAAACACCGAATTCGTTTTGGCCATTTAGGGTGTCACAAGGGTCCGCTTGGGGTGGCTGGAAGGTTGTCGGGTTGTGGCCCGCGGTCGCCGGGTCCGGCGGCAGGAATGGCAACGCCGATGTCTCTCGCAAGCGGGCCCCATACAGACGAACACTTAGAAACCGGGGCACGAGGCACATCGGGTGCAGCAGTCGGCGTCGCACCTCGTGTCGCCGACTACATGCATGCATGCGTGAAGTTCGTTGCTCGCGGAAGACACTGGCGAAACCAGCACGCACAGACGTACAGCCAGCAGCCGGCAACATGTAGGCCTGAACCTACCGAATGACTCAGGCGAGGCAAGCACGCACAAACCAGCAGTGAAACAACGCAGCCGGGCATAATTAGGGTGCGTCCCCGCGGTCGTCGAAGTCAGCCAACAAGGCACTCGTGCCTCCGTGGCGCTCCAGAAGAGCGCAGCAACGTACCAATCCCAACATCAATGAGTGCCACACTTGGTTTCTATGTCGGGGGAGGGAAGGTGGAATGGGATTGTAACGTGGATGTTGTGGCAAAGGGTTGCAACTGATGGTTCAACCCAAACATCAAAACAACTTCGCCCAAGTTCACCACGGACATTTTGATACATTTCAAGAACAGATCTAAAAACAAAAGGGCCGAAGCTCAACATTCTGCCACCCCGCCTTCGCAGCGCCTGTTCCCCGGGGCGCCATAAAAGGCCCACGCGTCCATCGCCGTCGAAAAGCTGGCCGGCGTGGCGACGAAATCGCGTTCGGTTTCGCCACCCTCTTATTCGGCCAGCCAAAACGGGCGCGAGCCTGTCGCCGCATTGGCGCCGGGAAAGGTCCAGGGAACGGGCACCGCCAAGGCGAGGCCGTGGAGATGTCAGAATCGGCATTGTTTTTGAGTTTTGAGGTTGTCCCAAAAACTCATCTGAACACCCCTGGCGAATTGCGGACGTTTTTGTGACACGAATCAACGCCCACCCCCACCTCGTCCTCGCTCCCCCCCGCCTCGGGCCTTGCTCAAAACCAAAATGCGACCTAGCCCCCGTCAACCCCGCATCTCTCGTATCCGACATGACATTTCCCTGTCGCATCGCCCTGCTCCCACGTTTACCCGTTGCCTTCCACTTCTGGGATGGAGGCGGACCAAACCTGTCCCCGTACCTCGATGTTTCCAACTCCCCCCCAACTGCGAATCTCACGCCGCGACCGCGGCGTTCCTCGCGTTCGTATTGGTCCCCAGTGGCTAGCTGGCGGATGGCGACCACTCCCCAAGTGTGCTGACTCACAGATGCTGCGATTGTAGCTTGGAGCACTCCTCTTCGGCACTGGACTCCGACCAGCCCCCTTTCTATCATTTATTATTCACGCCCGCCCCCAGGAGCAACGACAGAGGCTCCCCTGAGCCCCTCCACCCCAAATCCACCCAGCCCCTAGACCTGACTCGGAGCGATCCGTTACCACGACTTCGAAGCGGATCCGTCCGCGTTGGCGAACGCGCACCCAAAAGCCAAAGGGCGCAGATCAAATCATATCCCCGCCTACGACGAAGAAAACGACGACGACAACGGCGACGGCGACTGGCCACGGCGTCAGCGACAACAGAGCGGCGACCGCGGCGACGGCGGTGTGAACGGCGACGGTGCCGGCGTCGGCGGCGGCGACGGCGACGGCGGCGACGGTGGCGACGGCGGCGACAACGGCGACGACGATGAACGTCCCGCGGCTTCCGGCGGCTTTATCCCCAGACGCCCCTGGAAGTACCCCGAAGCTTCCTGGGGCCCATGGGGACACGAAAACGGTTAGCAACGTAACACACCTTCCGAAAACTGCACACAAAAGACCCGGCAAGGGAGCGAGGAGCAGGAGGAGCAGTAGGAGGAAGAGGAGGAAGACGGGGAAGAGGAGGAGCGGGCCGAACCTGCCAAATCAAGAGTAAGCAAGCGGGGCCCCTTGAATCGCTCGGCCTGGCTAGCCTGCCTCCTGCTATTCTCAGATGATGCTATATTCTACACCTGCTCTCCTCTATCCATCCAAATTCAAAGTGTGCCGCACTTGGTTCTTATGTAGTGAAAAGGGGGCTGGGGATGGGCAGGGCCCTCTGACTCGCACGACCTGCCACTTGACTCTACTCCAGCTCCTTCTCTACTCGACCCTTCATCTACTTGAATATTATCTCCTCTACTTTGCGCTACACATTAGCAGGCGAAACCATGCGGATAGCATGGGACGCCATGCAGATATCCGAGACGAAGCCATGCCGATAGCAGGGGAAGCCATGCGCATAGTTTGACAAACTCTGACCTAGCATACTCGACCCTAGTCTTTTCTTATCCTTATTCAACTCTACTCCCTTTTGTCCCCCAAACGGAACGATTGCGCGACGAAAGCCGGCAACAATGCAGCGCAGACAAATAAGCAAAAGCCTGCAATACCCCCGGACCCGGGCAGAGGGAGGAGGAGGGAGGAGGGGGGGAGATGATCACACCTGCCTAAAGATACGAATTATCCCCAAAACGTATCAACCCGAATGGGCTGCACGTGCTGCGGAAGCGGTGAAGGACGAACGAGCTGCACGAGGAGGAAAATTATTCGAATGCGACGAAAAGGCTGGCATTCCCGGTCCTGGCATAGCAGGCATGGGGAGCCCCGAAACTGACTTAAGACCGGCTTTTCCGAACTCAATGGAAAAACTACAAGCTGGCAAGTGCTGGCACCGGACTCGGGCAGGAGGAATGCAGCGGGGCGAAAAACCGGGCAAATATAGCGATACACATTCACCCTCAAACGTACCGGCGCTGCGCCAGGGGCCAGGGGAGGTGAAGGCAGGAGGAGGAGGAGAACGAGGAAGAGGGGAACTGATATCATATGAAGATGGTCGGAACCAACGGCAAGCCCGCGGGGTCGACCAACCATTGCCTTAACGCGCCAAGCCGCTGCGTAGCCAAAACCACGCTCAAACGGGAAAGCGGACATGCCCTCGGTGGAGCGGGCGCCACGAAATAGACACTTGCGGCAGGAAGAGACGGCGAGTGGAAGTGCTAGAGAGAGGCACCCGAAGGGGGCAGCACGCAACGGGGAGCTGGCGGGAAAAATCTGCTGAGCTGCCAGCTGGCGGCGGCACGTTGGTCAGTCGAACTTTGGCTGCGCTGTGCCACGACGCCCCTCCCGGACGTACCCTTTGAAAGTTTCGTCGACCTCTGAAGTGTCCAATTGGCCGTGCCGGCGGGCGTTGTGGACGCGGTATAATCCATAGATGCCGAGTGCCCACTGCTGCGTGTCCGCGTCGCTCTGCGCCAACCGCCGAGTTTGAGGAGCTGGTCCAACGCCGCGTCTCCCGGTAGACGTGTTTCTTCCAAGAGGCGCCGCGCCAAGTTCGCGATAGCGTCGTCGCCCCGCGGGCATCCGAGCTGGCGGCGCCCGCTGCCGGCGAAGCGGGAGCTGGTGCACCAACCATTGCGCCACAGTCGCAGGACGGCAGCCCACGCCCGCGGCTGACAGAGGCGCCCCACGCGCCACAGCATTTCGAGAGCATGGCCAAGACGAGGTCGTGGGAGCAAATGGACAGTCCAGTGGCCCAACCTTCTCCAGAGAAGTGCGCGGAGCCAAGCACATGTAAAACCCACGCGCTTTAGCTTCAAGCGTTGCACGGCCTGTCGTTGCCACCCCGCCTGGGCGCTCCAGCGCGCATTGCCCAGGTCCGCGCGACACGAAGCTCGAACCTGGTCCGCGGCGCTGTCGAGTTGGCATAAGAAGCTCTTGTCGCGCCAGGCGGTGAGCCATGCTGGCCGCTGCAAGGACGCGTCCATAGAGTAGCAAGGCAACTGACGCATCGCCCGGGCCCGGGCCTGGATCTGGAGCGCGCCACCAGCCTCGAACTGCGCCACGCGCGCCGTTGCGGCCACCATCGTGCACCCTGCGTCGACGAGGTTCCTCAAGGCGTCCACCGTGACCCAGTCGCAAGGTCCAGGAAAGAGCTGGCGGCAAGCAAACACCCCCGCAGACGACGGGGTCAGGGATGGGGTCCAGCTGGCCGACGCAGCGTAGCACAGAAACGATGTACACTCTGTATGCCTTTACGGTCATCACCATCTCCACGTCAAGACTCCCCCACTGGCCTGCGCGATCGAGGTATTTCCTCGACTCAAGTGCCCCTCCCAAGGGAAATGGTCGCGAACGGGCCCGAGGGGCACGCCCGGGTGCTTCGCCGCCTCCGCAATGGCCATTCCGGCCCAGGTGGGGGCCTGGGTAGCCAGAGGAGCACGCATTCCAGACAGATCGAGCGGGTCCGTGGGCACGAGAACCAGCGACGTTCGCGTCAGTATGGAAGTAACTCACGATGACGTCCAAAACACCTTCCCTGCCGCGCAGACGCAGCCGGAGGGCTCGCCCGGGCCTTACTCGGCTCTACTCCTAGTCTAACTCTGCGCAAATCTACCCTCCTCTACTCGACTCTCCTCTAACTGAGAAAGCCATGCGGATACCAGAGGAAATAATGCGAGTGCCTTCGACGAAGCCATGCGGATAGCAGAAGAAGCCGTGCGGATAATTGGACGAATGTAATGGTGAACAAGGGTGTGGGGTGACCTAAGGGCAAATTCTCTACGTATTGAGCTAGGACTCCGATAAGCAAACTATATCATTTCTGCACAACAATAATCATATACATGCCGACCGACCATCGGGCCTGCCCATCCATTCATCTGCAGTGCTGCCCGTCGCGAGTCTGTCCGTCTTGCTAACTTTGTATCAACATGTTCATCCATCTGTCCTTGAAGTCATTGGGCCGCCAGAGGGCATTATGCTCACCAGGGCAACAGCAAGAGGAGCAATTGCAGAACGAGCGTGACGGCCTCCAGGGCGGTCATGAGAGCTTGGAACCTCTGGGAGTTACAGTGGGTAGAGCGCGTGGCCGCGGGAAGACACATAACCATCAATACCGAATATCTTTACGACCCGAATGTCCGTTCTTCCGTCCGTCCATCTCCTCCCGTCTCATTTCCTCACTATTGGTGGACTTCGACCCCAACACCATCTGCAACTCGCCCCCATTCCAGGCAGGCCCCTTGCAAGAAAACGAGGACGAGGAGTAAGGAAAGAATTGATATAGGTGGCCGGGCCCCTCAAATTGAAGCTACGAGGGTAGGGAAGCAAAACAATCGCCCGTCTAAGGGAGGAACGGAAATGTGGGAGGGGGGAGAGGGCAGCGGACGGAGGGAGGATAGGGAGGGCGATGGGAGGGTGGAGAGGTACCGCTCACACCGCATCACGCTCCCTGCCACTGCCCGTGGGGAGGGACACAGCTGGCACACCTTCAGACCCCAGACGGCCGCAGGAACTAGGGATCACACATCGCCCAGAGGAGGAGTGAGTGGGTAAGACATCGGCCACCACGCTTTCACTGCTGCCTGCGCATAGCATTTCTTGCAAAGGAACTGTCCGGCCAAGCGGCCCAATGGATTGCTAACTCCATCGTCCCCTCTAGACGACCCACAACATACGCGTATAGTGTGGTAGAAACGATTGGTGCATCTCAGACGGCACGTGATGTGGCCAAGGCAGCCCACAACGGCAATAATGGATGCAAACTTAATCCGACCGACATCCCACCAGACCCAAACGAGGGCGAAAGATAGCCCCGGACCCCTCAAAGAGCGCAACACGTTCCTCCAAGATTGTCCCTATGGCAGTTCCGTGCCCTCCATATGGCTTACACAATTGCATTGAAACTACTTTGGAAGACCCCTTGGAGCCGAAAACGTTGAAGAAGACACGGTCGCCGAATTACAAAATTGACAACATTGATGTACCTCCGATGCTCGCTCTCAAGTGGCCTCCAAAATGGCCCAAGACAGCATCCACACGGCCTGCAGAAGCTCTCCAGAGAGTCGGAGGCCATCCCACCACAATCCCCGACGGGCTCGAAAAGATCCCCAGGTGGCGCCAGATTCCATCAAAATGGCCTCCACACAGCCCATGATCGCCCACATGCCCTGACAGCCCAAGGTCTGCCGAAGCCAGCTCAATCCTGTGAGGCTGCACGGCAATATATAAAACCATCAGGTGACCTCAAGCCCCGCGATCAGCGTCGTTTACATAAACTGACAAAACGAAATCAGGAGCCGAAATCAATCGCCCATGAGATGTGTTGACTATAGATATGTATATGCAAGTGTGTGTGTGTGTGTGTGCAGATCTGGCACATCAGCTCTCAGCTGGCATTTCTGCACGCAGGCAGGTGACTAGCCACTATTCGTTAGTGCTGCTATACATAGTTGGCCCGTGCTCATGGTCGAACAAATACAATACTGGGTGTCTCTCAACAAACAGACCTCGATCGTCTGACATATCAGCTGGAGCGGTATGATCGCAACATGGATGCCGCTGTGGGGCGCAAAACCAAATCAGGACAGCTGAGTGGCATGATAACCCGTGATAGCCCTGTATGTGAGGAGATGGCCACATATGTGTGTCAGGCTAGTTGAAGTTTCGGTATGTGGTATAATATATGCGCAGTGGATACTCTGATCGCAACTTCGGGTCACATCTGGGCACGGCACCGGATTGTTGTGGAGGGGCGACCGGCACGGTGGATCATCACTCCCCAGCAGCGCTCGCACCAAGAAGTCCCACCATCTTTCGGGGAGAGGGTGGTTGAAAGATCTTCCTCTGCAAACCCCTTCTTCCACTTCGGGGAAGAGTGTGCCCATCCGGCATGATGCATCCCCTGGATCTGGACGGGGCGCCCCACAATGCGTCACACGGTACACAATGGTTCGATATGGTTTTAATATGTCTTTGCATAATGTAACATGACTCAGAATTACCAAAGGCCCCACTACCGGCCCAATGTGGTTCACAGTGGCCACGGAGCCCCCCAACCTCCCAGGGACGCCCCCGATTGGCCAAAATTAGTCCAACACTGGAGGGGAAAAATTGTTGTTGCCGTCTCGCCGTTTCGTTTCCGAGTGGCTTCTGAAAACACCAAAACAGTTCCAAACTTGCCGAAGAGAGTCCAGAGAGGGTTTTAAAAGGGCTCTGAGCTCGTTTCAATAACCTTTAATAGTGGCCCAAATATGGAGCTCCCCTCTTTGCTCAAAGCCATGAACATTGAACCTTGTCAAGCTGTGTCAGGTTTTTGGAGCATAGGGGGCGCCCTGGAATATTAAGCAAATATCGCTTCAGATAGCCCAACATTGCCTCTACGATGGCGCAAATTGGTTCGACATGTCCTCTGACATCCCTTCGATGGGCTGCAGGACCGGCCGAAGACGGCTCCAAGTTGCCACGAAACGCCCCGAGGAAACCCCCGAGAGGCCTAACGAACTCACACATGTGATGCTTGTTTCTGGTTTCGGTTGCACTTTCGGGCGCTTCCTCTCGACAGGGTGGCTCCCAACGCTTTGAGGCGCCAAGAAGACAGGCTACATGCAATGATTCGCTATCACCCCTGTGCTACCCCTCCGTGTCGTCCACCCCGAGGGTAGCCGCGTGTGGTTCAGTGTTGTTCATTTTGTCGCCATTTCGCTTCCGACGGGCGAAGCTGCACGCGTAGCCCACCAAAGATGATCCATCGCCGTCGCATGCCACTTGGCCAACGCTTCCTTCACCGCAAAAACAGTCACCCGCTGCCGTCATGCCCTCGCCGCTGGCCGCCGCCGTAGCCGTCACGGGCTGTGGAGGCAGCGATGAGGGAGTCCTGGCGGAACTGGCGGGCTGCCGCCAGCGCCCATCAGCGAGAAAAGGCCGCCGAAGGCGTCGACGTCCGCTCCCGAGGCGAACGCGTGAAGTGGATCAAGCCTGCCTGCCGCAGTCGAAAGCGCCGGCAGTGAGCCTGGAGCTGCCCTCGGCGCCAACATGGGCGGCGGCATGGGCAGCAGAGGAACCGCCGCGCCGTCACCGTCAACCTGAGCTCCTCCAGCTGCGAACGAAACGTCTACAACTCATCCTGGCCAGTCAGCTGTCCTGGCGGCATTAACGATCAGCATGGCCGGGGACCCGCCGATGAAACACTGTACGACTGCGCCTCTGCCAGTCTCTGCTTATGCGCCCAGCTGGGAGACGCAGGCACCCAATACAATGAGCACTCGAGAGACCAACAAATTGATGAGACGGGCCGATCCATAATCTGTCGCATCATCTCCAACAAGACCCATGGAACGGAATCTCACCAACCTTTTGGGCTAAAGTGGTCTAACAAGGTCGTTCTTCCTAGTCCAAAGAAATTGTCCCTTCTGAGAGCTTTCCCATTATCTTTTGAGAGTTGTTTTGGAGGTTCGCGGAGTGTCAGGGCGCCCAAGATGGAGCAAGATGGCTCCAAGAGAGCCTCCGATGCTCCAAAATGGCCCCCCGAACTGTTCACGGTAGACGACGGCGGTTTAAGGTAACTTCTGACATACCTCCAAGAGGCCCGACGAGGGCCACAAAACATTCCAAGTGCTGTCGAAGCCCCCTGAGGACCTCCCCAAGAGGCAAACATCCATCAACAACATGAGGAAAACTACTGACTGTGGCCTTCTCGCAGTTTCACTTCCGATGCCCCTTGAGGCCTCAATACAACCCCAATATTGCCCAAGAGAGGCCCACGAGGGGCCCAAGAGGCCCTCCAGACGGGCCCAAGAGCGCCCCAAAGGGCGATATTGATGGTCTGGGAGGGGGGGGAGGGGGGGGGGGGGGGGGGAGGGGGGGGGGGCAAAATCAGGGTGACCCCCTCCTTCGACCGATAGCCTCCACGATTGCCCCAAGAGCCCCTCCAGGGCCCCCGAGTTGCGGGCAGTCCTTTTCAATATGTGGCTCTCGCCAGAGCGCCGCGCGCATTCTAGTCGCAAGGTTGACGTTTTAGAAATGGTGTGTTGGCGCGATTCACGACAGTCAGGGCTCAACAACTACGTTGGTCCGCAGCGTTGAAGTCCCAGGCATGGCGTTCTGGCACGATTCAGGATCGCCAAGGCGCAACAAAAAATATTGGTTAGTGGCGTTCCAATTCCGAGAATGGTGTGTCGGCACGCTTCAGGTTCTTCAAACGGTTGTCTCCCAACGGTGCGCCTCCCTCAGTGGGGAGGAATCCTTGTGAGGGCCTATGAAGAGGGAACTTTGGGGGAGGGTTGATTCCGACATCCTTGATGTATATTGGGTTACACTGTCCTCCTCCTCCTCCTCCTCCTCCTCCTCCTCCTCCTCCCCTCGCCCCCACACGGGCCCCAAGGATTGGCCGAAGAGGCCCTGCAAGGCCACCCACTTGGTCCCAGAGATCTCTCTGTGCACCCTGATTGCCCGCTTTGTGTTACTACATGTGTCGTCAATTCGTCAATTCGCAAGTGTTCGTCAATTCGCATGGGCAGGGTTTGTGAATGGGCTGGTGGGGATACTGTTGTTTTGGTCGCGGGCGGACGCGAATTCGCAGTCACCGAGCTGAGAGCTCCGGGCCACGGGCCTGTCAAATTAGCAACGCGCAAGCCTAAGCTGGTGGGGATACTTTTTGGTCGGCGGCCGCTCGACAACGGTCTGGTGGCAACAAGCGATGTCCGGGACGGCGGTACAAGCTAATTGCACACAAAGCGTGCGGTGCACGTGCACTGAGCAAAATGCTCCACATTCGCAGTGACGCACCTAGGCGCCGCCCAACACATGTTGCAACTCTCCCAAGCCTCAGGACACGAGGTGCCACCTGTCACGGCCCCCTGTGCGCCCACCCCCCCGACAGTCGCCACCTAAGGTGCTGGGCTGCCACGGTGGCGGGACTTGCGGCAGGCAGCTGGATAATCATCGCATTGCATACAGAGACCGCCGTGCCGACTATATGGCTGACCGTCTCCTGGTTTGTCTCGGACGACTGGGCGAATCCCACAAGAAAACCATATGAATCGCATTGCACTGCCAGGGGCCGGGCAATAAGTCCACGCTGCTGCTTGGTGCCGCCCTCCCTCCGTCCGCGCAGCCCGGAACCGCGCGGGCGATGCTTGAACCGAAATACTTACGCAGGCCGAAACGTTTTCCTCTTGGGCCCTAAATGTCGGACGCGACGTGCCGTTCAGGTGAGCGGATACATGAAGCGCTCTCTTCGGCTTGGGGCATGCCATATGAGATGCGGGAGTTGGCCGGGCCCGCTGTGGCGGTCGAGCAACCTTATCTCCGTCCTGGAAAGACCCCCCTCCATGTATTCCCGGAAAACAAATGGATCCATTAGTTTTCACACGCGAGAACTGGATCCGCGCAAAACAAAACATAAAATCCACGACACTGTCGCACACCCGGAAAGGGATCCAATTGGATCCATCGGCGTTCTCATGATTTTTGGCCGAAGAAGAAAAACCTTCGGCCTGGGGATGTAGCGAGGCTTGGTCAGCAGAATCGTTGCCAGATAGGCGGCGCCGCGTGTTGTTCTTCACATGGGCTCTCCCAGGGCGAGAATACGATCATCAACATCCAAACGTACCAATTTGTAAATAGGAAATATCACTAACCAATATGGTGGCAAACTTTCAGAAACTACATCGTCGCGAAGGCGTCATACAGCACAGGGTAGAACAATTGTTCGCGGCTTAAGGTTGTGACATCTGCGCTCTTGTAGCAGATTGCTCACCGCGAGTTCATTGCACATGGTAGTTCCCCGAGGCTCAGACAGCCTTCCGAAAATTTTAAAATATTATATGATTTAGCAGCGTAAGCTGCCGCACGGCTTTGAGCTCCAATCGCGCTAAATTCTTGGACGATGTCGGGAACTGCTGGGATTCCCCGCGTGACATTTCCCGGAGCCAGAGGGCGCCAAGACCGCCCAAAGGGGGCCCACGACAATCCAAGAGGGTTCCGAAACAGCCCAAGAGAACACAAGACGCCCCAAGAGGCCCCGACATGACCCCAAGAGGACCCTCAGACGCCTGAATCACTGCATTTGTCCTTGGATTGATACGACTACTATGTATATACACATATGCCGAGAGGGAGGGAGAGACAGAGAGAGACGGAGCGAAAGAGAAAACGAGAGATAGAGACGCACAGAGATGGTCGCAGGAACCCAATGGCTGTGATCTTGCAATCAGAGAGGTCCAGAGCAAGCGGCACGGTCAACGTGGACACGCCCTCCAAAACCGCCAGGCCACCACCATATGGCCCCGCCATCGTCACTCCGTCTGAGTTCTCCTCCACGTCCAAATCCTCCGGAAGGTTCATACCTCGTGCCTGCGTTCCGCTCCGGATTCTGATCGGCCATCTTCAAAACATGCCTGCATAAAAAACAGAAGGTCACACGAAGGGCAATTTCCCTTGCGAGCCCGATTAGCTCTGGAAGTATATATGGCCCGCTGTCTTCATGCCCCAACGACCCTGCGACAATGTGACAATATGCCACTCGTCCCACGGACTGGATTGCTGAATGTTGCCATCCCCTAACACGGCATTTGACATCACATTGCTCCGTCTTGGGGCAACTAGATACCCACGACGTTTCTGGGAGGCGTAAGTATCTGAGACGGCCCGCTGATCATGCGAACCCGCCCCTCCCAGACACAACGAACTGTGCCTGGTAGGATCCCAGAAAAGGAACGGCGAGATGAGGATGTCCACGAGCATGACAATGATGGGATTATTTGGGAGATGGAAGCAGGTAAGGGAGCATGCAGGAGGAGGCAATATGAGTAAACCTGAGATGTGGCAGGACGGAAGGGAAAGGGAACAACGAGGATATACAACAACAAAAGGCGGAAGAGACAGACCCGCACAAATATACTGATGCACGCTACTGATCTGAAGGGTGGCCATACTAATGAGCAGGCGTGTGAAACATGCACTGGACGGTGGCCAATGTTGCGCCGTACATGCCCTTGAGGCGCCTTTGGTCCAATACCCATTCGTTCGTCCTCATGGAGGTGAATGCACTCATGTATGCTCGGTTGTCTTCCTCGGTTACTGGATATTGCTGGAGGATCAAATCGGAAGGGTACTCACCATATGAAAGGATGTTGCTGCGTCAGTGGGAGGTGTTCAAAGGTGCCTTCATCGGCGCGCACTGCATTCTGACCGTCCGTATTGCCCATCAGTACCGCCTGCAACATGTCGCGTTCGGACATGGAGCTGGCGCCAATGCGCACGCTGACTGGGCTGCCAGTTCGGCGCGGGCGTAGCGGGTTACCCCGCATTCTGCCGTAAGACTTGTTAGCTCTTTCCATGTGCCTGAGCCACGTTTCGTTAGCAGGTAGCCCCGCAGGTGCAAATACATCAGGTGTCCCCGCGCACGCGGCTGGCTCGGCAATCGGCGGCATCTGCGTGTCTGCGGTCGGCATCGTTGCTGTTTGTTCTGGCCATGCGCATGGCGGTGGCATGGCCGTAGGTATCGGAACATAGCGTGCAGCAAGTTGCCCCGCAGGTACCGCGGGTGCTCCCGCTGGCGCCGTGACCTCGGCCATGATGGCCGTGATCATATTCAACTCTTCACGAGGGTCTCTGAATTCGTTCGCCCCACGGAGCATCTCCTCGCGTCGGTTCTCGGCGCGCTGCCTGCCCGCCAACGCGCACCGCAACTCAGCCGCGATCAGCCCCTCGCCTCGGCGCGCAGCACGCGGTGCCTCGTTGGGGGCACCGTCAATATGTCGGTCGACATGTGACTGGGCCGCTCGGTCTCAGCAGATTGCGCGAAGTATGTGGCCACGTTGGAGCCTCCATACATTATCGCGGTACTCAAACTCCTCGAGACAGATCGAACACTTCGTCAAATCACCATCGCTGATTATCGGTGGCGTGGCTGATGGCCTCGTGCGCCTTTGCCGCTCGAATGTGGCCTCGCCCATTGCGCGGCGGCTCGGCGGGGCTGCATGGGCCCATCGGCATGGCAACAGGTTGCGCCGCAGCCACATATCTCATAGCCGGTTGCCCCGTAAGACCCATCATGCGGCGCGCCTGCCTTGCCTGCTTGCGCTGCTGGCGCGCGCGCTGCCCTGAGAGGTCTGCCTGCTGCGACTCACGCATGGCCAATGCCCCATTCAGGCCGCAGCTCTCCAGGCGACACAGGCAATGTCAGCTCTGGAACACGCTGAGTGACATCCGGGTCCATCGAGGGCGCCAGGTACCCGTAGCGCGGCACCTTGCCGGGGAATATGACTCGCATTCCGCACCCCTCGTGAGCTGAGTCCTGTAGGAGGCGTCCGCCGCTGCCCTGACGTAGGGATTCCCGGATCGACTTCCGACCCGATCCACCCCTGTGGTCTGCGCGTAGTAATCAGGGGACATAGCCGAGCCCATCTGTGGCGCCACTGGCCTGTTGGCCGCCGTCAGGACTTAAATTGGGCGGCTGAAGAATGCAAGCGCGTGGCCATGCCAATTCGGATGGTCCGGCGTCGGATTTGCGTCAGGCACGCACTCCCAGGCCGGGGCCCAGTTTGCGTTCGGCAGATCGACCCCATCACGCCTCATACTCTCCATCGCTCCCCGCATCTGTCGATGCATCCACTGCTGCTGTGCCGGCAGACTTTCGGCCCTTTGGGCTGTCTCCGTTGTGGGCTGCATGTTGCCATGCTGGTCCATGATCGCTGGCTGCCATGTCGGCCCATGTGGTAGTGCTGCAGCACGTGGGGATGCGAAAGGTGATGTGGCCTGTAATGCTTGGTGGAGCTGGGGGTCCATCCGCGTGCTCTTGAGTCTGGCCTGTAGGCTGTTGAGGCTACCAGCACTCTGTGGCGTACCAAACGGTGTTGTGGGCCCACTCCTAAGCGCAAATGCAGCAGGTTGCCCCGCAGGAAGTAGTAGCTGCCGCGCCTGCGTGCGCCACGTTGCCGTGGATGGAGTCTGGTACTTGACTGCCCAGCATCGGCTCGAGCCATCATCTGCAGTTCCATTATATGAAGGTTTAACTGGCATCTGACATCAGATGCCAAGCGCTTCCCAATTGCGCCTGCTTCCCTCTTCAATTTCAGGGATGTTAGCAGGTTGCCCCGCATATGCAGATGCGGCGGGTGCCCCCGCAGAAGCCGACGCAGCAGCAGCCTCTGCTGGCAACCCCGCACGTCCAAATGGGTCCGTCTCCTTCTCGCGGATGTCCTTGAACTCGCACCTGCTCGCCTTTGGAGCTTCTGGCGGGCGTGCCCTGGACGTGATCTGGAGCGAGTTCGTGTCCGCATTCTGCTGCGAGGCATGGTGCATAGTCGAACGAATCATCCAGTGAGGGTGACCAGCCAGCTCCACGGTGGATTCGGCCAGGAGTAGCACCGCGCAGTGGGACGGGCCCCTTCGGTTTGGGCGCGCTGCCACCCCGAAATGCTTCCACCGCGGCTGCAACAGCTGGCCCCCTGCAGTGCGTTCTGTGAGTTGGTTGCCCCGTGGGCTTCCCGCCCGATCGCTTCGCTTTGCTTCTTCCATCGTCGACCTCGCCTGAACTGCTCCGCTTCTTCGATCTCGTTGACCTCGGCAAACTTGGAGATGGAGACAGATCCACGTCCTTCGAAGAGCGCTTCGGGGGCTTCGGGGGCCCGTCTGCTGTCTCGGAAGGTTCGCCCGCATCAGCGGGTTCAGCAGGTTTCCCAGCGCGCTCTTGCGATGGGGCTATGCGTCGGAGGCCCCCACTCACGTCGGTTGATCATGACGTTCTCGATCTCGGCATTCCTTCTGCAATCCAAGTCATGCCTTCAATTGGGCAGCCTGCGTCGCACTAAGGTAGTCATCCAGCCTTTGCTTTGGCCTTGGTACCACACTGCGTCGCATTGCTCCAGGGCCGTGTCCTCCGTGACTTGCGCGTCGATGTCCGCGTCGGCGTCGGTGGCTTCGTCAGCGTGTGACCCGTGCTCATATTCAGACGCAGATACAATGGGATCGACAGCTTGTGCGAGAACAGACGCCTCGTCTTCTTTCCCAGCATTAGCCGGCGGGTTGCCCCGCTTGTCCTGGCCCTCGTTTGCACCTTCGCGGGAGGAGGCAAGTTTCCCCGCAGAGGAGGCCGCTCGAGCATGAAGTCGGGCCTAGCGTGCGCGGGGATCGTGGCATGCCAGTCCCTCTCGACGAGTGCTGCCTGAGCCTCATCCAGTGGTTTGTAGTCCGCCTTGGCCAGGTGCAGGTGGCTGGGGTTGCAGCTTGGGTTTGCTTCGAGGCCTTCGCCATACCCATGCGACCAGGCCCGCGGGGACTTCTCGAAGTTGGGGCTCCTTGAAAGGCGCCCCATCGGGCAGTTCGGCCTGCGGTCCGCGAAGTGCTCGCATCCACGGACATCCTCTCGGTACTTTTGCCGATCCGCACAGACGCAGCTTCCGTGGGCCTTCCTTTTCCAACGCTTCAGGCTGCCGGGTATTGCCATCTGCTGGAACGGGGAATGTTGTCCGTTTCGCGACCCCGCTGCACATTCCGCAATGACCAATGATGGTGGAACCGATGGTCGGACCAGCCCTGTGACCGCCATTGCTGCGTATAGTCGTCTGGTACCTGCTGGCGAGCAACCCCGTCGTTCTGTTCGCCAGCTCCCCTGAATCGAGGCTGGCCTTCGGGCTCATCTGAGCCTTTCTCGTCCTGGCGCAGGTTGCCCCGCGACCATGCCCTCCGCGGCGGTCCGTTCGGAACCTGCGGGCGCGTCGTCATCGGAACAATCCAGCTCGCATCCATCGGATAGTGCAGGTGTCCCCGCCATCTCGTAGTCCGAGTCGGCGGGAGATTGGCACTCCTCGATGGTCTCCATATATGCAGGTTGCCCCGCGATCGGGATGCACAACCAATCTGCGAGGTAGATCTCGTCGCGGCCAACGAAAACCTCCTCGTGGAGCTCCTCGGCACGCGTCTCGAGGGACACGCCGGCGCTCGTGTACCTCGCAGACGTGGAATGGACAGCGGCAGCGGGGTGATCCTCTAATTCGGCAAAGAGGGATTCGGAAACGACATGCAGAATGTCGGAATCGGTTGGCGCCAAAATGCAGCGACCGATCCCCTGTCGACCCCGTCAACTCGGGGGCATTCACTACGGACAGGTTGGGCGCTATGGCTGAAGTCGCATTGCATGGTTTTCCCGTTGGCAACCTTCGGGCCACCCTGGCGCCCCTTACCTTTTATTCCCCCCGAGGCGCGCCCGCGACTTTTACCCCCCACGGGAATATTTCCCCGCGCTGTGGTCC